GAGAGAGAGAGAGAGAGAGAGAGAGAGAGAGAGAGAGAGAGAGAGAGAGAGAGAGAGAGAGAGAGGAGTGATACAAGATTGGTTGTGCAGTCCAAGGAAGGAGGTGGCATCCATAGCCACCGAGCTCGGACACGGAGAGGACGAAGAAGAAAGAAGACCGAGTGAAGGAGGAGGGAGAGACATAGAGGAGAGAGAAGCCATAGCCAAGGAAGAGAAAGGAGGGACGAAGAAGGAGAGAGAAGCCATAGCCGGGGTGAAGGAAGAAAGAAGTAAGAAGGAAGAAAGAAGGAAGGAGGGAGAAGGAGGGAATCGAAGGTTGGTGGGCGAAAAGGGGTCGGCAGCCATAGCGGAGTTGGGCATTGACCAAGGCATTGACCGGGGAGTTGACCGGGGAGTTGACCAGGGTCGATCGAGGTATTGACCGGGGTTGACCGAGGCATTGACCGAGGTGTTGACCGGGTTTGATCGAGGTGTTGACCAGGGTTGACTGAGGTGTTGACTGGTGTTGATCAAGGCGTTGACCGGGAAGTTGACCAGCGTTGACCAGTGTTGACCGGAGCTGTTGACCACGAAATTGACCAAGCTGGAGTTGGTATAATCTCGCCAAGCCTTCAGCCTATTCCCTCGCCCTATGGATGTGCACTCACCCCATGGTACTTGCTGAGTCTGTCTATCTCTTCTTTCTGCATTGAGCCTCTTCTGTCCAGGTGATAGGAACTTTGTGTATGAGGTCGTAGAGCTGTGTTGATCAAACCCTCACGGGATGAGTAGGGCTTAAGTCCATGTCTGTCGACTGACACGTCCCGAAGGACAAACCCTCCCAAGGACCGGTACAGACCGGCGGGCTGCTCAGTGTGGCATGGTAGGCCCAAACAACCAGTTGCACAACCAGTTGCACAACCAGTTGTCTAAGTCTTGAGAGGACTTGCTAATCTCGTCGTCCTATCTACTACGTTAAAGAATTCCTGAGGAGTTATGGGGGATCTCCTTAAATGCCTCCTGATCAGCATTGAAGTCCTGCAGTGACAACTTAGTAGTAGGTCTAGGCTAGAGACCATAGCTGACGGGGTCCTGCACGGATCCTGTAGTCCTTAGAGAGTCAGTCAGTCAGTCAGTCGAGGTGTTGATCGGGTTTGACCGAGGCATCTCCTTTTTCCGTTAGGCTTCTGGAACACGCTCATGTGTAGAGTTGAGACGAGGGATGGTACTAGCACCACTCCTTACACCAAGGAGCAAGAGGAGGAGGCCGCAAAGATTCTGGTGGAACAGAAGGCCAAAAAGGAGAAGAGAGAATTGGTGAAGCAGGCCAAGAAGTTGGCCTTACTGGAGGAACAGGCAAAGAAGAGGAAACAGTTGGAGGAAGAAATGGAGAGACTGAAGAAGGAAGAGAAAGAGAAGCTAAAGGTTGTGGAAGAAGAAGAAGAGGTGGAGGAAGAAGTGCCCCTAGTAAGAAAGGTTACAAGAGAAAGGGGCGAGTCGAGTGGTACGAAGACGGAGGACCAGAGGATGGACAAAAAGGTATCGGAATGGGTTGCTAACCTGTTGTTGGGGGAAGATGAAGAAGCGATGTTATATGTCCCCAGGGCAGAACAGGAGGCTGTGGTGAAGGAGTTGGAAGCAGAAGAAAACCCCTTACACCACCAGACTATAGAAGAAGAAAAGAAGTTAGAGTGGAAATTGCGCCTCACAAGGGAGAAGAGGCAACGAATGGAGGCGGTCAATAAGATGGCGAAGGAATTGACGGTGGTGGAGGAGCAAAGAACACAGATGGAAGGGCAAGTCGATTTGCAGGGGAAGATGGAGATTATGGCTAGGAATATAGAACTCCTGGCAAAGCTCAGCCGGAACAGTTTTTGTTCATGAGGGGTCAGGATATAGCTTTGCAGTCCATACGGTTGGGCTTTAGAGAATTCGCGGGCGAGATGATGATAAATGTTGGAAAAGAGATGAAGGCGAGAATAGAAAATACAGAGCGTTTCTACACGGGCACAATAGAGGGTGCCAAGTTGGTAGCTCCAAAGGAGAAAGAAGCACGCCCGCGTAGAGACCCAGTCGAAGTTAAGTTCCCTGATTCCTACAGTGGGAAGAAGGGGGAGAACTTTGACAATTGGGAGGCGAACATTAATTTTTATGTTCACCTCCAGAAGATTGTGCCTGAGGAGCAGGTTCTCATCGCCTTCCACCCTCTCAAGGATGAAGCAGCAAGCTTCGCCAAATCACTCGCCCGCGCTGCTAACTGCGAAAATAATATGGTGACTTACTCCATGAACACCCCCCTGAACGAATTTTTCAGATTGCTATGTGAGAGATTTGTCGATGCCACTAGAGGGATTAGGGCCTCCAACAACTCCAGACCGTGCACTCGCGTCAATGGAAGAGTGCCAGGGCACTCAAAGGAGTCATGGACGAGTTGGTTGTCGTCCCTGGCCATGGGGTCACTGAAACCCAATTGGGTAAGTTGTTCTATCGTGCCATGCTCGAGCCCTTGCACGGGCACTTCTTCAAAAAAAATAAGGAGTCAACTATGACCTACGATACTTTGAGTAGGGAAGTAGTGACGTTCGAGCCCCAGTCCATGCCAACATCTACCTTCTGGCACAAGGACTTGAACAAGGGCCAAAAATGGAAAGGCCGTACGATCTCTAGCCAAGTCAAGGCCAAGGATCATTTGATGCTTACTTTAGCTGAGGGTATGGAAGAGGTCCCATACAACCAAATAGAATGGGGCCTGGAGGAGGAGGACAGTGGCAATGGTCAGGGGAGGACTAATGTTGCTATCGCGGCTGGAGGGAGGCCGCAAGGAAGAGGAGGAGGTCGGGGCCTCCGGTGGTCGAGGATAAAGCGATCAGGGGGTTGGCGGCAGAGGTAACAACCAAGAGGGAGGCAGGGGTCAAGGTGCCCCGCAAAACCGCTCTCGTTATAACCAATCACCTCCCAGGAGGGGTGAATGGCACCGTGGCCTGCCGCAAGGCAAACCTTGGGAATCACTGGGAATAAAACAGACTTTGTGGCAAAAGAGAATAGACGCGGATCAATGCATATCATCAAGTACTGCCCTAAATACGGAGAAGCCCGGCGAGCTGCTGCAGAGGCAGCAAAAGGCAACCGCTAGTAGGGGTTGCAACTGCCCTTACCCCTAGACCATGTGTAGAAGAGTGTGCGCACCACAAAGAAACTCCTAAACCACATGTGTCTATGGCAGAGGTTGCTGGTCAGTGCCAAGGTAGTTGTCCAGAGACTGATTGTGTTCGAGTCTCTCTAGGCACTTCCCTCACAGGTCTGGCAGAGGAGCTGAGGGAGAGAATGCCGGTCTGGGCCAATATGAAGAAAGATGGTAAAGGACGGCTAGTTCTAGTAGATGTAGAAGTTTTTAGAGGCAGAGTAGGGGCCCTTATAGACAGTGGGGCCACCCACAATTACATTAGTAGAAAAGCGTTGCAAAAGTCGAAGCTTAATCTAAAGGTCCAAAAGTTAGAAGACCCTATAGTTAGTATCCTCGCAAACAATCGCACTTTGCGAGTCGAGGATTACGTCGAGGGAGTCCAGGCATACTTTCGCCGAAAGAAAGATGGGAAGGTAGAGAGAGTTCTACATTCCCAGACTCTCCTCGTAGAAGATAATCTCCCATTCGATATCGTCCTGGGAATGGACTGATGAGAGGCAGCAGGGGCCACACTTCATCTGAGAGAACACGAGTGTAGGCTCCCTAGTCCATCAAGCGAAGTTAAGACTGCTCGCTTGTTTGATGTGTCAGGAGTAGATAACCCTCTGGCACATTATTGTCACAGTGCTCCCTCGTTCGCACGATTAGTAAAGGAGCAATTAGAGGAACAGGTTTTTGTAGCCTATGTAAGGTTTGTTACTGAGCCTAAGGAAGAGGAACCCACTAATCCAGTTATTGCCAATCTGCTGGAGGAGTATGTCGATTTGTTTGAGCCGCCTACATGAGTAGTACCGCGGGCAATCCAACACCGTATTGAGATAGAGCTTGGCAGTAGGACTCCCAAGGGGGCCATCTATAGAATGTCCCCAAGGGAGCTAGAGGAGTTGCGCAAGCATTTAGATGAGCTCTTGGAGAAAGGTTGGATTAGGCCCAGTTCATCTCCGTTTGGAGTGCCTATTCTGATTGTCCCCAAGAAGGAGGGAGAGCTTCGAATGTGTATGACTATAGAGGTCTTAATGTCGTCACAGTAAAGAATGTAGAACCACTGCCCCGTATAGATGATATGCTAGATCGGGTGCAGGGCTGCAAGTACTTTTCTAAGATAGATTTGAAGTCTAGTTATCATCAGATAGAGGCACATCCTGATAATCAGTACAATACGACATTCAGGACTAGATATGGGCACTACAAGTTTATAGCGATGCCCTTTGGACTAACCAATGCGCCAGCCACATTCCCGCGTTGTATGAATGACTTGTTTAGGCCGTGGCTAGATAGACTTGTAGTTGTATATCTAGATGATATTCTAGTCTTTAGCAAGACCCTCCAGGAGCATGAGGGTCATCTGAGGCAGGTCTTGGAAAAGTTGAGAGAAGCTAATTTCAATATCAACGCAGAAAAGTGTGAGTGGGCCAAGACGCAAGTTTTATACTTGGGCCACGTCTGAGATGGAGATGGCATAAAACATGAGGACAGTAAGATAGCAGCGATCAGAGACTGGCCAACGCCCCGCACATTGACAGAGTTGCGGTCGTTTCTAGGCTTAGCAAACTATTATAGAAAGTTTGTGAGGAACTTCTCTACCATCGTTGCACCCCTTCGCAGGTTGCAATAGAAAAAAGCAATTTGGGCGTGGGATAGAGACTGTACGTCAGCCCTAAAGAAATTAAAGCCGGCCTTAATAGAATACCTAGTCCTCAAGGTAGCCAATCCGTCCTTACCTTTTGTTGTCACTACTGATGCAAGTCAGTACGGTATAGGTGTTGTTCTACAGCAAGATGATGGCAATGGGTATAGACCCGTAGAGTTCATGTCTGTTAGGATGCCTTCAGAGAAGGTTGCAACATCTACCTACGAGAGGGAACTCTACGCTCTCAGGCAAGCATTAGACCATTGGAAGCACTACTTGCTTGGGAGGCACTTCAAAGTCTATTCAGACCACGAGACACTGAGGTGGTTGAAGACACAGGCCAAGATGACACCTAAGCTTACTAGTTAAGGAGTTCCCAGAGTCTGAACTAGATTACCGCACTACGGACCGGTTGTTATTTGAGAAGACTAGTGTAGCCGATCGTTTATGTGTTCCCAACAGCGAAGAGATCCGGAGTCTGATCTTAGGGGAATGCCACGACACAAAGGGACATTTTGGTTGGCAGAAGACGTTAGCCAACCTTATCCACACGTATACGTGGCCTGGTATGAAGGCCAACTGCATAAAATATGTACGCAGTTGCAAGGTGTGCCAACGAATAAGACCACTACACGAGCCCCTCTTGGTCTTCTCAGACCATTGCCTATTCCCACGGGACCCGGAGATTCCGTGTCCATTGACTTTATGGATGCTGGGGTCAGGAGTAGGCATGGCAAGAGCCAAGTCATGGTTATAGTTGATAGATTTAGTAAGTATGTAGTTTTTGTTCCTTTGCCCTCAGAGGCACGTACACATTTAGTCATACACAAGTTCTTTGATCATTGGGTCAGTGAGCATGGTCTACCGTTGTCGATAGTTAGTGACAGAGATGCCAGGTTCACTAGTGAGAACTGGCAGGAACTGATGAGAGTCTACGTCTCCAAGTTGTTAATGTCGTCCGGTCGCCATCCAGAGACTAATGGTGAGACTGAACAAATGAACAAGATCATGCGACAAGTTCTTCGAATGTACACTAAACCTGATCAAATCAACTGGGAGGAGATGCTTCCAAAGGTAGCCAGTGCGTTGTCGGCGTGAATACCCTTACAAGGGTATCCGCCCTGGTTTTTGCAAGTGACAGAAGGACTCGGTTAACCTGGATTTTGAGTGCCCGTGCGGGAAACGTGAGGATTGTCCGCACGCAGGCAAGGGTCTGCATTGTCCCGGTAGGGAGTGTGTGGGCGCGCAATTTTTGAGGCGCGCGTGTGATTTTTTTTTCTGGTTAAGATAGGCGACTGGTCTAGCCGACCAGCCCGGGCCATGTTACGGGTCTGATTAGGGGTAAGAGTCAGTTCTTTTCTTCAGTTTTTGGTTGGCGCGCGCGACCGGTGGTAGGATTGGCGCGCCGATAAGTGTACGGGGGCGGCCACGACAAGGGGGGTGGTAGGCCGGCGCGAACATTTAGGGGGCTGGGAGAGTAACCGGGGCGGTCTCGTGGCCGGAATGCCGCGCGGCACCACTTTATATGGGGAGCTGCGCCTGCCAGTTGCGGGCTTGGGCTCAGCCCTATTGGTTACGGCATTGGACTATTGTGGCACAGGTACGGGGATCGAGGCCGGCGGACGACGGTGTGGGAGCGGCGAAAGGCTTGAGGGGTTGATGGGCCCGTGGGGCTAACCCCCTCGCCTTTTACAGTCGTGGCAGCCGCGGATCCCGCCCGGTTGCCGCATGTGGCAGGGTTACATATGTATTTATCTACGTATAATTTATTTATTTCGAGTTTTTGGCTATTACTATTCTTTCACGCCCGCATGTGGGCACGAAAACCACGGTGGGCACACCCACGAACCATTGAAATGATGGATGCGGGATAAAGGGGGCGTACAACGCGCCGAATTTGTCCTCAGAGGGAGGCCAAATCCGCGCGGGGAAGTTGGCAAGGCAGGGAGACGATGGGGGCTGGTGCCATCCGAAGACCCGCCCCCTGTAGGAAGATCTGCGGGACAGCAGTGCAAGGAGCACTCATGAGGGTCCGGGAATGAACCCGGACGTAACCCGAGGAAGGGGGGGAGGAGGTGCCAAGGAAATAGAGAGGAAGGGCCGACTGCGATTGGGGTCCTTCGGATCCTCTGCAGAAATCGGTAGGATACAGAG